TTTGAAAGGTATTGGATCGATGTTGTTGAAATGATACTGTCCTTATGTCTTGCCACCTCGACTTTTGTTATAAGCACATTCAACACATGCCTTCAGATATGAGTTAACAAAATTTCGCATTCGCGGGAACCATATGTAAGTCTTCATTTTGCTAATGGTCTTTTCGAAACCTAGGTGACCATTTTTATCATGACATTCTTCAACCATTTTGTGTCTTAGCGTTTTTGGAACTACCCATAATTTGTTGGCGTTTTCGATTTTGAACAATCTACCCTGCTCAACACAAAATTCTTTCGTAGCCTGCTTGTCTTTGTTCTTGACTTTCTTGATGATTTGCTTTAAATTTTCGTCTTGCATCTGCATACTAAACAACCAGTCGTCATGCGTTATCGCCACTTTGTCTACTCGTAATGTTGCTACATCAGTTTCTATAGCACTTTCTTTCGGACACCTGCTTAATGCATCGACGTGTTCCATACGTCTACCCTGGCGATGTACAAGTCTTGCACTCTTAACCACCATCGAGCAATTCTTGGAATAAGTTCTCGCTTACCCATAGCAGTTTTAACCGCACTACAGTCAGTTACAACCTTCACTGTTTTACCATCGATATAGTATCTAAATCGCTCTAACGTTTCGACTACAGCTAAAGTCTCAAGTTCGTAGCTGTGGAAGTTTCTCTCAGTGTCGCTCGTCGATCTACTATAATACGCAACTGGCTTTAACTCATCACACTCGCTCTGCAATAGCACTCCTGCTAACCCAGCTGAACTAGCATCAGTATGAATTTCGTGATTCGCATCTACTCTATACGCAACCAGTAGAGGTTCAGACGTCAGTTTTTGCTTAAGCTCGCTGAAAGCTTTATCTTGTTCAGAACTTCAAATAAATATCTCGTCTTTACGCAACAGTTTTCGAAGAGGTTCGGATATAATAGCGTACCCTGGTATAAATTTACGAAAATACCCACTTAATCCTAAAAATCTTCGGATTTCAGTAACATTCGTTGGTCGTTCATAATTTTGTATTGCTGTCGTTTTTGCTAAGCCTGGAGTCAATCCATTCGGGGATATTCGATGCCCAAGAAAATTGATTGTTGTTTTTAAAAACTCGCATTTCGAAATATTCAATGTCAAATTAGTTTCTTTTAAAATGTTCAAGACTGTCTTAAGTTTTTGAAACATTTCTTCGTACGTATTACTACAGATGAGTATGTCGTCCATGTAGTGAGTCATATTGTCTTTCGTCGCACGCTCTTGAATTTTGGACATTAGTCGTTGGAATACTATTGGCGCGTTCTTAAGCCCAAAAGGCATTCTTTTAAATCGTATAAACCGTAGGTAGTAACAAAAGCAGTGTACTTACGGCTTTCTGGTTCAATTTCAATTTGATAGTATCCACTATTCAAATCGAGCGTTGTGAAATATTTATACCGCGCCGCTTCCTGAAGACACTCTTCGATGTTTGGAAGTGGAAATATTTCTTTCGTTGTATTATATCGTTTCGTAATAAAGTATTTACCATTACCGCGACAATTTGTTTTTTTGGTACTGGCACACGATACGGAGACTGAGATACAATTTCGTTTGATTTTAATTCAATTTTCATTTTTACCAAATCTGTCTTTCCAAGTTCATTTAGATTATTTGCGAACACATTACAATTGTCGTTGATAATTTTCATTAGGTCTGATTTTAAAGAGTCGTCATTTATTTCGCACATTATTTCATTTTCACTAATGTAACGCTTTATTTCCTTATTCTCAATTTCTTGTTCGTGTTCTATTTTTATATTTCCGCTTTTAATAGTTAACCGCAAATTATTGTACACAAAATTATCTTGCCCTAATAAGATATCATTAGGCAACAATTCGTCATCAACCACATACAAAGTAACCGGTATATTAACGCCATCGACTACTAAATTTGTTCGCACTAACTCTTTTGCATGTCGAACACCACCACATAGTCCAGTGATTTGTATAGCACACTCTTCGCATTTACCACCAATATTGTCACACAAAGATTTTCGCATCATGCTACACTGTGCACCTGTGTCAATGAACGCTTTAATTATCTGTCCATTTATTAACGCGTTGACTTTAAAATGTTCATCATTTACACAAAACGCATTTCGTACTTTCGCAACAGGCCTACATTGTGAATCACCTTTAGCATGAACTTTGTTGCATTTGTCACATCTCTGTTTACGCTGAGGCTTTTGACAATTTATGGCTATATGCCCCAATTCATCACAATTGTAGCACTTCACAGTCTTAGTAATTTTTGTTTCAGTTTTCTTATTAGAATTGTCACTTTTGTTTACAGTCCTTCTCTCGCGTATTTAACCATTGCTGTTTCACTCAACTTATAACGTCGCCCAAGCGCACAAACACGAATGCAGTAATCAGCTACTTTTTCGTTTTGTTTACGCACAGCACTTTGCATTTGAAAATTTATGTCCGCTTCATCAGGGGAATCACCGAATTCGAATTTTAAATCTTTCGCGAAATCATTCCAATTGGAATGTAGCTTTTCTGTCGCGTCGAGCCACAAACGCGCTACTCCCTTCATGCGACTGTATACTGCAAGCAAAAGGCATTTTTCGTCCCATTCATACGCACGAATAACACTGTTCACTCTCTCAATGAATTGTTCTGCTGACAAAGAAGTATCATTTGTCGGATCGAAATCTGGTATAGTCTCAGCTATTTCGCGTACCGAATAATTATTTCGCGATGTTGATACATTTGAATTTGTATAAGGGGAGAGGCTATTCAAATTTCTATTTTCTACACTACTCGCATTTTCGTTTTGCACAACTCGGCTTTGAGGGTTGTTTTGCACATAGCTCAACACATTTTGTAGCATACCACGTAGCTCATTCATTTGTTGTTGTAACGATTTTTGTTGTTCGTTTTCACATTGATCGCTACTATCATTCACTTCACCGCACGTTGCTTGTTCATTTTCATTTTCGTCAAATTCCATTTCATCAGAGCCGACCGCTTCGCTCAACCGAGTAATTAGCGTTGATTTTGTTCCTGTTGTTGGACAATTCCTCTCTTGCAACAAGCGCTTCAACTGCACGACAGTTAACGATCTGATGCTTTCCATTTTCACGAATTGTCTACTTCGCTTCGCCAAATATACACACACACGCACGATAGCCGTTGATTTGAATTTTTGCTCTAGAATCTAGATGCTTCGTTGACGAGCTAGAACATACATGCATGCAACATGATACACTTGAATGTTCACTTTTGCGTTCTAATTGCGTTTATATGTTTGTTTGTAATTACTTTTATGAAATCTGCAGGTTATACGTTTAGCAGGATTTCACCACATATGCATGCGTTTCTCGTACCAATTTCACCAATTTTACGCTTAGCGTTTGTACGTTTAGAAACCTTTCTTTCTGTTTGCTGTCGAACCGATTTTTCTTAGAAAATGCACTGGTACACGCTTAGCACATTTCTCGTGTATCAATTCCGACACAACTATTCAATCGCGCAACTCTATTTAGAAAAATGTACTGGTAAACGTATTAGCACAAATTTCGACGTCTTGTACGCGTGGACCGTCTCACTTCTGAATTGAAAGGTACCGAGTTTCGTTTAATAATGACAAACGTTTAATTTAGGTTTATTTAAAATTATTATAAGTAATAGAAAGGTTTGTACATAGAAGTATTGCAAAAAGGTATATTAATCGATTGAAACGATGTTAACACGGCAACGGCTAAACTCCGACTCTCTTCGAGTAAGATGAATGTTGTTTAATGAATGTTGAATGTACGATGCTGCCACTCAGTCAAACAAATGCTTATGCTGCTAAAGTTACCTTACACACCTTTAAAAATATAATCACAGTTTCTGAGAACAATTGTCAAATTTAATTTTTTTTACATATTATACTGGAATTAAATTGGCTTTAAACATGCATGCCCAAAACTTTTCTAAAAAATCGGATTAAAAAATTTTAACTTTTGATAGCAAATTTTTGAAATTGGTTGAATTTTCGCGAATTTCGCATTTTCAGCATGATTTTTTTATGAATTACGAATGAGCGGCAAATTACGATAATGTGAACATGCTTTATAAAATACTTTTCCTGCTGATAAATTTTTAAATTGTTTGTATGGAAACCCCGAAAATGATAAGGTTATCAATTCGTCGGAATATTATTATTTTTATATGTACGTTACCGCATAACTTTTGACCACGTAAACCGATTTCGATAATTCTTTTTCCATCGGAAAGGTAGTGTCTCATAGAAAAATAATAAAAATAGATTGGCGCTTATACATATGTTAGTATTTGGCCGAGCTTCTCCTCCGACTTGTGTTGTGTTGTCACACAAATCGGAGGGACCTACAGTTTTACGCCGACTCCGAACGGCGATTGTATTTTTATAGGAACCTGTTTTTCATGGCAGAAATACACCCGAAGGTTTGCCATTGCTGCTGAGGCATGACCGCTGCTAAGAAAAAACCTTTTTTATATTTTTTTTGCGATGTTGCTTTGACCAGGGCTTTAACCCAGGTGCTGCGGAGTGGAAGCGCGTACTGCTTACAACTACGCCACAACGGCCGACATCTCACAGGTGGTCCCACACTAATTTGGTTTAGATCCGATTATTGAATCATGAAAAAATTAACGGTACTCCTAAGTTTTCATATAAGAATTGAAGTCAGTTGTTTTTTTTGCTTAAAAATTACTTGTTTCTTTGTGTACATAGTTAGTTTAACCTTATTTGACAAGTTGACCCAGTAAATTTAAGTCATTATTAAATGAACGCATAATTTAGCCTGTATTCTAATTTATCTATAATTCGCTTCGTCGTCTGTAAGAATCATTGTATTTCATAGATGACTAAAAAATTTTTATCTGCGTTAACTATTATGAAGTAGGATCTGAAAGAGAAAAATGTTTCCAATCCAATTCAAATCCAAATTTTTGAATGCCCTAACGAAAAGCTTTGAATTTTATTCTGACTTACCGCAATTAAAGTCCTCTACTCGAAGTTCCGTAAGCTCTTTAACTCCAGAGTGCAAAGACTTACAAGACAACGTGACCTGAGTACGATTTTGCCGAGTATTATTAAATATCGAAATTTCTTGGGTGTAATACCACCATAGCGAATGAACTGAACAATCGCAACGTAGAGGATTGCTATCAAGTTGTAAGCTTTGTAGGTTTGATAAGTATGAAAAATCATCCGGAATATTTGATAGTTTGTTATGGTATAAAGATCTAAAAATGAAAAGGAAAAACACAATAGAGAATATATAGTTAGCGATCTTTTATATGAAATCATAAGAACTATTTATACTATTTTAAAGGCCTATATATTCTCTTCTCAGATCATATTCGATCTTTGAAATCGAATCAAAAATAGTAATTCAAAAACTGATAAATCTACAAAATCTTATTTTCTGACCTAAATCGACAGGTCGCGACATCTAAATGACTTCTAAAAAGTCTATAAAGATAGCCAATAATATTTCTCATAAAAACGAATAAAATTAGGGGGTAGGGTCTTTAAATTTCCAAAAAAAAAAACAATTTCGATGGGCACCTTAATGGGGGTCCATGAGTTGTAAGTGGGGGTTTACGAAAATTTTTCTGGTTTCGGTACGAAAGGACCAAAATGGTTGCTTGATAACCTCTTTATTTAACTTTAATTTTTTTGAGTGGTCAAGTGCACTGACGCACTGCTGCACTTACCGTCACTTTGTGTTTTCATACGTGGGAAAGCCTTAAAGGCCACCTGCAGACTAAAAAGAACCGGATGTTGGTATAACACTGAGGGGGGCGCGGCGAAAATTGCTGGCGGCAGAGATTTAAGCACTTGTGTCTTTTCAATGCTATAGGATAGTACGCCACCAGTACTTTTGTTGAAGAGATTCTATAATGTTGAGTTCCCTGAGACTGAATGCTGGTTTAATTCCATCACTGAGACCGGACTCATACATTGTCGAACCTTCACTGATGGCTCCAAAACTGACTTTGGGCCATGATCTGGTGTATTTTTCGAAGTTAATGAGTATAAGCTTCATTTTTCTGTTGGGGAATATGTTTCGGTCTTCCAGGCTGTGGTGATTGCAATCCTCAAAGCTATGGACTATACGGTGGAACACTGGTGGAGGGGAAGGAGTTTACGTGTCTGCAGTGACAACCAAGTTGCACTTAACGCATTGGCTAGCCCTCTAACTACTTCCAAACTAGTTCGGCAATGCAAGTCTCGACTAAATTATGGTGGTAAACATAAAGAGCTTGCTTTACTCTGGGTGGCAGGTCATTCGGGAGTACCTGGTAATGAGACATCTGACCATTTGGCCAGAATTGGCTCAGACCAGGTATTCCTCGGTCCGCAACCAGTTTAAGCACACCCACTTTCGGCCATGGAAGCAACCATCAGAAACTGGGTGAATACTGCGCTCAGCAATGACTGGGAGACATCAAGGGAATGCAGGTGGGCAAAACTCATGTTGCCTTCAATCTCAGAAGGTCTTTCTAGGTTTCAGATCTCACTGAGCAGGGATACTGCAGACAACTTGTTGGACTGCTTCACGTGGCACAAACACTTGACTGTGGCGTAAATGACAAGTCCATTTGCTCATCCTTCCTTGAAGAGGATGAGACACTGGAACACTTTTTGTGCTTCTTGCTTGCTTGGTTGTTTGTCATCGATTTTTCTAGACTCGTTCTTTTCTATAGTGTCAGTTTCTGAATTAAAAGTTTGGCGTAAAAAGCTTCGCCGTGTTGTTTTTTTAAGTTTTGTGTTTTAAAAATGTGAGTGGTAAATATTTTTCGCCTCACTTTAAAACTCGGTGCGATAAAAACAAAAATGATGCCACCAGCACAAATAAACTATTGTACAAGCACACCATGTACAAAGTCACGAGTGAGCATAACATTTGATGAGTTCATGGTGAAGATAACCTAAATGACGCTTGGGCTCAAACTGCTCTTAAAAAATATAACTCCTAAGAGCGAGAGAGTATTTTGATGGATTCACGAGCTCTATATTTTAAAACTGGCAAGTGTGTAATCAGATTGTTTTAATAAATAGAAATAAAACATAATAGAAAGAAAATATTTTAGTTCTATTTTGGCCACTCCGAGTTTAGTTTTTGTATACACCAGCGATGCAGATTTACATAGTTAAATCTAATCTTCACATTTAATTTTTTACGAGGTTTGGGAATATTTAAAAATGTATCAGCCACCGAAACCAGTAAATTTTTGAAAGTGGGTCTACGGAAAAAAAGTTTGTGAACCTCTGTTTTAAAAGAAAAGGGATATAAATTTGGGGATGGGAGTTCATTGCCCCTCTGCAAGCTTACCAGACCCCTTTAGGAATTTTAACAGTTTGGTGAGGGAAAATAATGTATCTCTTCCATTCTCAGTATATCCGACCCAAAAATGTTCCGTCTGAGTCTGACAAAGGCCGGATAGCGGCAGGGAAAATGTTCCGTACTATCGCCATCCTCCGAACACGATGTACACAGTGAATAGACGATGATGCCTATTTTGACCATATGTCGTTCCAATGGATTGTGCCCGATAATTAGCCCTATTACGGTTCGTAGATCACTCCATCTTTGTCTGTTAAGGAATTTTGCCACCACCCCGTCAGACCTTTGCAGGAAACACTTAGTTATTTTGCAGGTGTCAATAGTGCACCAAGGGCTCTTATGAGTTTTGTTTATGAAATTCTTTTTGTACCCAATCGTTCCCGTTCCACCTCGTAACGGGGTTCAGCCCCAAATAATATTCCTGGACTATCCTTGATAAGGTGCGAGCGGTTTCCAAGGTCTTTAGAGCAGCCAAACGTTAAGCTTCTCACAGGAATTCTAACGGGACACTGGACCATTGGACACATGGCCGCCAGGTTAGGAGCACCGCATAACCATTGCTGTAGAAGCTGTAGAGATGAGGAGGAGGTAGAATCCACCCAGCACTTCCTTTGTGAATGTCCTGCACTCCGAAGGAAACGCCTCAAGTTTCTTGGGGACCATTTCTTCGAGAACCTGGATACCTTAGGGAAAGCTCCACTGGGAGGACTGCTTGCATTCGCCAGAGAATTGAAATGGTTCAAAGATATGTAGGGATAGGCATGGGGAAACCCCCCTGGGCATTGCAATGAGCCTTTGTGGCTTCCGGGTGAACTCTTCTCAGAGCCGCCCACTTAACCTAACCTAACCTATTAACAATAAATAAATAAAAATAAGTAGCCAACAGCATCATTTTGAATTTTTCTGCAATTATTTTGACCGCAACTGTATCTCTTACTTTGTTTTTATGGTTCCTCAATTATATGTTTACATATACATACATATTTTTGTATAAATTAAAAAGTGTTGCCATGAAATAAACCATATTTATCATAAGCTTATATCCAGGGAATGGATTTTTAGGACCTAAAAACCTATAAAAAAAGGCAAAATAAAATAGCAAGATAGACAGGAAAAGGCAGTAGAAATCGCAAAAAAGGCAAAAGAAGGCGCTAAAAAAAGACAAAAACCTAAAAATAATAAAAAAATACATTTATTTTAGAAATGTTTATTTTACAAGTAAAGAGAGAAAAACTATGAACTAGTTTCATTGCTTATATGAAAAATTTGTACTTTGAATCTTTAACTATTTTTTTGTATTTATTGTAGAACATTGAACTACAAAATACATTTTAAAGTTTTATGGCAGCAATTTCATTCAATTTTTGCGAAGACAAGCCTTGAATATACTAAACGTTCGAAAGACGTGAGTTGATATGACTGGCGCCCAATTTAAATATGGAACTTTTAAAACTTTCATATTATCAGGAATAAGGGCTACAATTAAAGGTAGAAAGGGCAAAAAAGGCAAATATCTTAAAAAAGGCAAAACATCAAATGTGTAAATATGTAATCAGGGAAAGCTAAATCGTGGACATTCTTAATCGATTATACTCTATCCCCTTAGCAGAAAAAAAGGAAATTTCCATAAAATCCGTTCCCTGCTTATTACTGATCTGAGCATTACTTCGTTGAAATGGATCACCTTTTTTAATATATGGTTCATAGTTGGGCTTTTAAAGAAAATCATTTATTTCTCATTTGTCCCGAAAAATTTTTGTAATCCCGTATTTTTGGGACAAATTATGCATTGCCGTATGGCTTGAAAAAAAATTTGACAACACTAGTTGCCAATCAGTTTTCCAATACTCTGCCTAAATATATGTTTCTTATTTTTTTAAATTTTTTTTCCCCGACGTTGGTTTGGTCAAAATGTCTGCAAGTATTTTATTTGTAGGTAGATATATCATGTTGGATATTCTACTACTATTTATGCATAGTCACCTGACATCCCAACTGCAATAGCTATGTACATACATATACATACACACATACATACATATCAACATGTAATACCTTTCGTACATCATACCACTGACCCATTATTTTCACTTCCATTAAGGCCTGCTCAAACAGGCGCGGTGCGGCACGGTGCGGTATAATCCCGTACGATATGCGGTATCAAATACTATGGCGGTATATGGGAGCACTGAAACAGACGCGGTATTGGAAGTGCGGTACACCGCGGTACAGAACTCTACCGCAGCATGCAGCGTTCACCGCGCGGTATAAGAAGATATATCGTAAGCAGAGTTGCAATTTAAAGCTAGAGTTCTAAAACATATTTTATCTACAAAAGTGCTATAGATTATAAATTCTTCCTTTTTCATGATAAAAAACGTGAGTTTAAAAGTGCTCGTAATACATACGTGATATTCTTTGGTTTTGTTTCTCACAAAGTAAATAAAATAAAATTGAACTTTTTCGTTTGTTTGAAAAATGTTTTTCAAATCTGGCAATGTTGCTCAGAAATATGAACGATAAATTTACTGGAATTTAAAATTCTTTCGCAAAACGTACATAATGGAGCGCAAATATGGAAATATTTATAAAATCTTTCTTCGTGGTTACGCAGTTGGGACATCAGGCTGGAAAATTCACCACCTTTTCTTCTCAAATTTATTTAATGAACCCATCTTCTTTTTCTTAAACATATATGTCGGAGATATGATGTGTGTATATGCCAAGCAATGATGTATTGCTT